CTGCTTCGGCAGGGGGTTGGGCTGGGTGACCCACAGAGGTCCCTTCCAACCCCGAACATTCTGTGATTCTGTGATCCTGCTCAGGGAGGGAAAAGACTTTCTTGTCCTAGGCATAGTTTGGTCCTGGTTTGGGGAACCACTGCCTGCTTCAGCATCTCTCCCCCTGCTCTGGGTCAGAAGGTTGGGGTCAGGGGTAGCTGCCACCAGCCGCCCCCCCAGTCAACCCGGGTTCCCACTATGGCAAGAGGGAATGGGACAGGGAAGACGTGACCAACCCTTCCTCCCAGCATCCGCTGCCAGGCACAGAAATCTGGCCAATGAAGGTCTGCACCCCCATCCCAAAGGGCTGCCAACGTCCCAGTTCGCCACCTCCGCTCCTCCCAAGCCACTGCTTGCCCACAGCAGCCGAACTCGCCCAACCCAACGCTACCTGCATCTGTGACACCACGGCAGCTCTGCTGTCTTCGGCGTGATGCATGCAGTGAGGAGGACTCTGGAGATCTCCTCCCTGCAGAGCACAGCCACAGCACGGCGATGCCAGGGTCCGAACGGAGACGTTCACCACGTTGGAAAGCGGCTTCACCCCGAAACCAGCACCAACTGGGTTTTCAGTGCCCAGATCAGCTTGAACAAACATCGGGCTGGGTTTCAAAAACCCATTTTTTTAATAATTCATGGCATGCCTGTCCTTCCTGCTGCCTTTCATCCACCATGGCACCACTGGAGTCCTGCCCGTAGCGGGACAACAGCTGGAGGATGCGGCCAGATGTGCACCAGCTGGCACCCACAAGCTCGCTGGTGCACCCAGCTGACCAGACCTCCATCAACACCCCCAGCCACATCCTGGGCACAAACCCATGTCCAGCCAGCCCGGGTGGAAGCATCAGGTATTTCTGAGGCCACCGTACTGGGGCTTCTAGCTCCCAACATAAATAAACCCGGCCTGCAACGGGGATTTTACCAGGGCAGGAGTATGCAGATTCGTTCTGAGATTCGGCTTGAGGCTAAATTTAGGAGGGAGCATCCAGCCAGATCTGGATTATCTGCAGCTGGATGGAAGGAGGCAAGGAAGAGGCTGGGCAGAAAAGGTCACCTGAGGAAGCAGGACAGTGGGCAAGCAAGCAGGACATGCTTTTGTCTGTAATTCAGGGTCCCGAGGTTGTGGTTTGCAGTATGAAGGGGTTCTGGGCTCCTATGTGGCCCCATCAAATGGAATTGGTAAAGCTCTCCAGGTGAACCTGGTAGGGGAAAAACAAATCAAGCACCGCCAAGCCTTACTTTAGGGCTTATTCTACCAAGAAGGAAAGGTATCTGGGAGTAAACCTCATTATCTTCTTGATTTAGGCACTTTTTTAGCCTGAGAAGACTCCTGCTTTGGCCAGCCTCGCAGCCCCTGGAGACATCAGCCAGATCGCCACGCTGGGACAGACCAGCAGCTCGTGTAGGCACTTGTTAAAGGACACACACTTCCAGACATCGTCACAAACACATCACAGGCAGCATGCTGCAGCTGCCTAGCAGGACTGTTACATAAACAAATTTCATAAATACCTAAACTTGGACTTTCAAGGCTTTTTAAGACCTTTGAGGTTCTCCAAAACTGCAATAGAAGACGCACCAGGAGGGAAGGTGATGTCCTAGCAATGGAGGACCACATCTGCCCGGCGGCAGGGGCACCACGGGGACAGTCTTCATGGCCAGCATTAACATCCCACCACCTCCTGCCGTAGCGTATCGACGCGGGAGGCCCCACCCTGACCCAAGGTGACAGTGCAGCGATCTCAGGGTCACTCCGGCAACCCAGACAGGTCTGTCCCCTCTCCAAGCTCCCCCAGTCCTCTCTGTGGGCATCTCGGGTCGGCCTTGGGGGTGGAGGTGAAGCATGGTGGCCTCAGCTTGCTCCTCGCGACAGTCCCCTGCGTGCCACGAGGGTGGGTGTCCCGAAGGCGATGCCACCCCACGAGAGCACCCTCCAGCCCCACAGGCTCCAAGCCCTCTTCGGGGGGACCTGCCACCCCAAAGCCACCTGTGCCACCGAGGGAAGAGCTGCTCCGCAGACACTTGTGTGCACAAGCGCCCAGGATTGGGCTGAAGCTCGCCATCCCAAGGGATAAATCCCATCCTCCTCCTCCTCCCAGATAGCCTGGAGGAGGCTGGGCTTCGCCGTCCCCTCGCACCAAGGCCACGCACGTAGCTGTGGCCGTCCCCAAGCCGGGAGAGGCGATGCCTCCTGAGCTCGTGCTGAAATACACAGAGGAGCCCTCAGCCGGATCCGGGCTGGGAAAGGACACGGCTGGGTGAAAAACAGGCTCCTGCCCCGCTCCGTCCTCCTGTACCATTCTCACAGCGCCGGTGCCGGGTTTGCTGCCGCCTACGTTCCCCGCTGCCAGCAACTTCTCATCATTCGGACCAGATTCAGCACTCCGAGGACCGATTTCCCTCATGGGGAGGGCAAGGTTTGCCCCAGGCTCAACGCCGATGGATTTCTCCACCACCCATCCTCCAGGGTAGACCTCTCCCATGCCACCATCTCCAAAAGCTGCGTTGATCGTGGACATATCTCCTGTCTTCAAGGCCAGCTTTACCAGCAGCCAGTGGTGATGGTTCATCCAGCCGTCCTCCAAACGCCCTCCGAGCTGCAGGAGCGATGAGCTGTTCCCGCTTTTGGGATCTGCCGGGGTCCCTTCCCCTGCCAAGGACTCGCCATCTCCTGAAATTCCCAAACTCTGCCCCACTTGGGAGTCGTCTCCAGCAACCTCCTGGCAGCAGCAGCACTGCAGGTTGTCTCGAGGAAGCCCTGCCAGATCTCCGTGGACTTGGGATGGAGCAGGCTGTAATAAACCACCAGAGCTGCGGCACCTGAAAAAGAGCAGCAAGGTGTCAAGGGGACGAGTCCCAGCAGCATCTCGGTGAGGCGTGGAGGAGACACCAGACCTCGCTGCCACCTCCAGATCAACAGGCTCTCTGCAGAGGTGCTGCTGGGCATCAGGCGTCCGAGCAGCGCGTCTTTCAAGCATTTTTTGGGATGCAAAAATCCAAAAAATTGAGCAGTTTTCAGGAAAGGGAGTGCTGAGCACAGTCTCCAGACTGAATTTACTAACGGTCTGGATTGATTTGCAGACTGATGGGTGCACAGAGAGGCAGATGCTGAGCGCCAGCAGACAGGGCACGGGGCAGGGAGGAGGTGTGTGGTGCAGGAATCCTTCCCATCTCGCAGCATCCCCATCCTCTAGCCATTAACAGAATCACACAGAATCACAGCATGGCTGGGGTTGGCAGGGACCTCTGTGGGTCACCCAGTCCAACCCCCTGCCCAAGCAGGGTCACCCAGAGCAGGCTGCACAGGACCTTGTCCAGGCAGGTCTGGAATATCTCCAGAGAAGGAGACTCCACATCCTCCCTGGGCAGCCTGGGCCAGGGCTCCGTCACCCTCAGAGTGAAGAAGTTCTTCCTCATGTTCAGATGGAACTTCCCAGGCTTCAGTTTGTGCCCATTGAAATGAGACAAAAGTAGGTTTTTAAGACACCTTCCTGCTTCCATCCTGCACTCATTCAAGGCTGGAGGAATTGCTCCTTTTCCAGCCCAAACGCGCCCTTCCTTGAACATGGCTGACCTGTGCGCAGCCGGTCTGGGGAGACGCACAAAGCTTCTGCTCTCTGCTTTATCATAGAACCATAGAATCACAGGACCAGAGAACCATGGAATGGTTTGGGTTGGAAGGGACATGTAAAGGCCATCAAGTCCAACCCCCGGCCATGAGCAGGGACATCTCCAACCAGACCAGGTTGCTCAGAGCCCCGTCCAACCTGGCCTTGAATGTTCCCAGGGATGGGGCACCAGCTCTCCAGGCAATATGCGCCAGCGTTTCACCACCCTCATTGTAAAAAATTTCTTCCTTATATCCAGTCTAAATCTACCCTCTTTTAGTTAAAAACCATCACGCCTTGTCCTATCGCAACAGGCCCCACTGAGTAGCCTGTCCCTATCTTTCTACTAAGCCCCCTTCATGCACTACGGGCAGGGAAAAAGTAACTTCTCCCTCACACACCAAAAAATCCTCCCCATGGACACAAAAACCTTTTCCATCTACAATAGCAGCCCTGGTCTTTGAAAGAAAACAGGGTGGCAGAAAGCTGCTGTAGTTCTGCACGGTCCCGCACCAGCGTATTTCCAAAGCACACCCAGGGATGGCTCATCAGTCACAAGGGACCTTCACAAATCATCAGAATACAAAAACGTTCCCCTGCAGCGATCCTCTGTGCTCTACCCCTGCCTGCACTGATCACCGAGCACCAAATGACAGAAACCACACACAGATGTGCTTCAAAACGGCAGATTTTGTATTTGGCAGTGGTACCTGAGCCATTCGGCGACACCTCCATCATTTCTGCAAGCCTCCCTCTGCAGGAATGGGCTTTTGAGAAACGATCAAGAAACAAAACTCGGATTTACATATTATCAAACACATAGAATCATAGAATCACAGAATGATTAAGGTTGGAAAAGACCTCTAAGATCATCAAGTCCAACCGTCAACCCAACATCACCACGCCTACTAAACCATGTCCTCAAGTGCCACATCTACACGTTTTTTGAACCCCTCCAGGGATGGGGACTCCACCACTTCCCTGGGGAGCCTGTTCCAATGTCTGACCACTCTTTCAGGAAAGAAATTTTTCCTAATATCCAATCTAAACCTTCCCTGATGCAACTTTTACTCTCAAAACGTGCAATCCAGGCTCTGAAAACCAGCAGACCTTACCTACTAGAGACCCTGACATGACGGCCCCAGTCAGGCACAGGCTGTTCCTCAGCTCTGCCTGCAGGAACCGGGTGGCCAGCAGCAGCAGGAGGGTGTTCTCCATCAGCATGATCTGCAGAGCAGAGGGAAGAGAGCTGTCACTTCCATCATTCTGATGGCTTTAGATGTGCTTCCAACGACAGAAAACACCCAGTTTCTAGATTTTGCTGATTTATTTTGCATCGAACTTATCACTTAAAAGATAAGGGTTGCTGAACTGAACTTTCTGCAAAGTTTCAACCTTTTTTTACCATGGATAATGACTCTGGCAGAGCAGCACAGTGTTATTAAGACATCGTGTGGATACTGCTACGGAAACAAAGCCAGCGCAGAAGGTGCACCCACCTTGGTGACCACGTGGCTTTGTCAGGACGTGGGAAATGCTGGATTTTTATCAAGTGGTGACGCGAGAGACGAGAAAGGAGGGTCTGAAGCTACTGTTTGTCCCCAGCAGCTGCATCCATGTGGAATATTCCGAGTACTTACTGCATAAAACACAGCCACCCTGTGCTTGGAAGGACCGGGCCGGACATTAACGTAGCAGAAGATGTACACGGCTCCCACCAGGCAATTGAACAGCCTCCAGCGACAGGGCTGGGCCACGATGTCCGTCTGCTGGGCCACCAGCCAGAAGGACATGAGCAACCAGTGGACACCTGCAAGGGGAAGGGACCGAAAGGGCAAAGCCATTCCTGGGAGAGGCTGCAAAGCTCTCCAGCACCAGGAGCATCTCGGGGGCTGTTTTCCCTGCCACAGCAAAAACCCAGAAGGAATACAGCCTGGCAAAGAGCACCAGGGCCAAGACCCTGGTCCCCAGCATCCCCGTCCTCCAGAGCAGCAGGCAGAGGATGGCCGGGGCTGGGGGGGACGGGGGGTCCGGGGTTGGCAGGCGAAGCGGCTGTAGGAGACCAAAGCCCAAGCCAGGGAGAGCAGGGACAGCCCCGCGCTGACACCTGCCTGGGGACAGGGGCAGTGAGATGCTCTGCAGGACGCCTGGCTGCGTTGTAGGACCGTGTCTCAAAGCTGAGGGGCTGTGCCCGACACCCCGCTGCCCTACTGATTGAAGTATTTCAACTAATTCCCGCTGAAACTGGTCTCCTTCGCACGCTTGGCATCTCCCCACTTTATTCCTACAACCGCTCTCTCCACGGGCAGAGCTCTGCAGCAGCAGGGCCCTGGTCACTGCGATCGGACCAGAGACCGACACCCACTTGAGCGTGACCTTGTGCACACCGTGACCCCACGTCCCCAGCTTCTCCCCTTGCACACCTGAAAGTTCATCTTTTATACAAAGCAGCTCCAAAAACCCCGAAATGCTCAACATTGCACTGTGATTAGGGCTGGACCATCAACAAGAAGATGTGTTGGGTTCAAACCCAGCCAAGGCACTGTCTTGCCATGGAGATCCCCCATCGAGGGACTGTACTGGCCAGGAGAATCACAGAATCACAGAATGGTAGGGGTTGGACGGGACCTCTGTGGGTCATCTAGTCCAACCCCCTGACGAAGCAGGGTCACCTACAGCAGGCTGTCACTGGGAGGTGAGTTTGGCCTTTGGTTTTGGCTTTCCCCTTAGGGCTGCGTGCACCCTCCTCCCTGCTACCCAGAAGAGAGGAAGGCTCGATGCCAAGGTAAGGCTGGCATGCAGAACCAGGGCTGGCACTCCCTAACACCACTGATCTTCACCCAGCCATGGGACCTGGAGAGACTGAGCAAGGCTGCTCTGCTTGAGGGTTTCTGGGGGGGCTTAGCAGTTGCTTCCAAGGGGTTAAAGAGTCTCAGGTCTGCAAAGAGGAGCCCAGGCGCCAGTGCTGCAGTTCAAAAGCAACCGAACGCTGTCCCCGAAGGAGTGTGCTCCTGGGAGCGGACCTTGTCCCTCATCTCCTCATCTTTCTTGAACTGGGGAGCCCAGAACTGGACACTGCACCGTGGGTAGCTCAGAGTCTCCTCCAGGTTCAGCCACAGCAGATCTTTAAGCCACGTTTATCCCTGCTGCTTTGCACTGGGGCTTCCCAGTCTCTTTGCAGCGTGGTCGGCCATCCGGACCCTGCCCTGTGCAGGGGCACACGCGTCCCCCACCCAAACACATCACCCCTCTACATCCTCCTGGGAACTCCCTGCTCACCGGGGACGAAGCCCGCTGGGTCCACGGCCACGACGACGTAGGCCTGCAGCAGGAGGTGAGGCAGGGTCTGCAGCAGGGCTTCCAGCAGCCGCAGCACACACACGTCCCCGTCCTGCATCAGCACCTCCCCAGCACGGCCACCGTCGCCTGCCTTTGCCGCCATCCGCAAAACATCCCAGTACCTGCAAGGGTCACCGTGATGGGATGCCCACCCTGGTTTTGGCAGGTTTGGGACTGCACCCCAGTTAGGAGTGGTGGATGGACCGTGGGGAGTGTCCCTCACCGCTTCCAGAGGCCCAGCTGCAGGAGGTGGAGCACCAGGAGCCAGCAGCTGAGCGGGCGGCCATCCGCCCTGAACCAGAAGACGCTGAGGACCTGAGCCACGTAGCCGGGCACCACGCAGGCGATGGTCAGCCCAAACCAGCCCAGCTGCCCATGGGTGAGGTAGTGGACGATGGCGCAGAGCCCTGGAGAACAGCAGAGAGGCACCGCTGAGGGATGCCCACACCCAGCAGCTGGAAGGTGCTACCCACAGCGCGCCCCAAAACTCATCTCCCAGCCGCCGAGGGGGCTCGCGGCGGCCCTTGCCCCTGTCTTATCTCC